TCCCGGGACCCCAAGATCCATGACCTGAGCCAAAGGCAGACACTTAACTAACTGAGCCACCCAGGAGCCCCTTTATTTCATTTGATAACCCTGTGATCAGAATGAAAAACCACAATTCATTGTAGAAAATTGGGCAGTTTGAAAAAGAAAAATCATCTATAATCCCATCAATTTGAGTAATCATTATGAAATTCAGGTGTATTCTGGTCCTTCTAATGTCATGTGTAAAATATGCTTACAAATAATATTATAGATACCCTTGTATATTCTCATTCACATATACTTTTTTTTATTATGTTATGTTAATCACCATACATTACATCATTAGTTTTTGTTACATATACTTCTTTTGTGCTTTAAAAAAATGGATATCATACTTCCTCTATTGTTTTGTTTTCCCCGTTTTCAATGAATATATGGTGATGTCTTTCAGGTCATTGAGGGCATTCTACTCCCCCGGTTTTCAGCTGCTTCACAGTGTTATTTATCTTACCCATTACTGTTTTGTTTTGCTTTTAAAGATTTTATTTATTTATTCATGAGAGACAGAGAGAGAGAGAGAGAGAGAGGCAGAGGGAGAAGCAGGCTCCCAAGGAGCAGGGAGCCCGATGCGGGACTTGATCCCAGGACCCTGGGATCATGACCTGAGCCGAAGGCGGACGCTTAACCATCTGAGCCACCCAGGCGCCCCCCATTACTGTTATTGAACATCTAGATTGTTTCCCAGTTTTTCACTTAGCATAGCCAATGTTGGACTGAGTATCTTTATACAAAAAATAACATTTTAAACTTCCTGTTATTGTTGCTAGTTTGGTAGTTGAAAACATTTTTTTTTTTTTTTTGGTTATTTTTTGTTTATAATGAATACTTGCCTCTGCTTTCTACCATGAAATTTTAAATTATAATCTGCATAGCACCTAGGTAGTTTTCTTCCAACTTGTACTGGTTTTTGTTTCCCCTCTTTTCCTTTTTCCAATATAATATCATAGAATCATGAACTTTTACAGTTATGACCCTGATGGTTAAGTGATTGGACCAGAGTCACACAAAACATTAAGGGACAGAACAGAACAGAGATTTGGGAACTCAGCTTTACTCGTTTTTCATTCTTCTTCCAGTAGATGGATATTGCTAATATCCTTAAGTCTCCATGGGAAAAGGTTTTGCAGGTTTTCATTTTGGAGCAGTATTGCATTTGTGCTTTTGTGGCAGAGAACTTGTTGCTTCCAAATAAGTCCAGAAGGTAGCCTCAGCTGAGTGTGCCATCCACTAATAGCCAGTATAATGCTTGCTGTTCCAGGAGCCATATTTGACCAGGACTGTGGGAAGGTCGTATTCATGCTGGAGGCTCTTGTGAGGAGATGAGTTGGTGAACAGAGAAACCGGCATGAAGATGCTCCCAGGAGTGGGCGTGTTTGGGACCGGCAGCTCCGCCCGGGTTCTGGTCCCACTGCTGAGGGCAGAAGGGTTCACCGTGGAGGCCCTGTGGGGGAAGACTGAGGAGGAGGCAAAGCAGCTTGCCGAGGAGATGAACATCACCTTCTACACCAGCCGGACCGATGATGTCTTGCTGCATCAAGACGTGGATCTTGTGTGCATCAATATCCCCCCTCCACTGACCCGGCAAATATCTGTGAAGGCTCTAGGTATGGACAGTCAGGCCATAGCAAGGGCAGGCTGTGTCTCCCTCTGGGTGGTCCTTGTGTGTCACTGCTCTCCTCTGTGCTGGGGAGGGCACACTGGGGGCGTGTTACAGCTGTGGGAAGAAATGCTCCAGCCTTCCTCACCTCCATAAGTAACTCCCTGAGCAAAAATGAAGCAAACGCCTTAAGAGGTGGCCTGTCACGGGCTAGAGATTATTACATGTCGTGCAGTGTGGTACTCGCTTTGGCAAAACACAGACATTTCATGCAATGTAAAGTTGGCCTATTTGAAGTCAGAGTTCAGAGACTTGGGCAGTAGGAAATTGATTGTGACTGACATGTTTGTTCTTCCATTTCCGTGGCACATAGCACCTCAGAGGAGAGGATGGTGTGTAGCAAGGCTGCCATTTCCCATGTTTTGTCAGTCCTTCGCTAGATAGAGCGCACACCCTTCCTGCCAAATTTTGCAATCTTGTGTGCCGGAAGGCAGGAAGGCTCTCTGCTAGGGTCCACAGGTCTGCCTGCTCACATCTCTGCCCCCTTGGGAAACAGTAGACAGGGCAGGGCTTACTGAGGTGTTCTGCAATTTCTTTTGGGCTTTTCTTCCCTGTCAACTGTAGGTGACTTTTTTTTCTTTTTCTTATGTAAATCAGAATCAAATTGAATAGGAAAACAAGCCAGTAAATATTCATCCAGCAGTTACTTTTTTTTTTTAATGCCTCCTCTGTGCCAGGCACTGTCTGGATGTCTTTCTGTACATTCAAAGCAGTGTTGGATCAGAGCCCTGCCTACCTTCAGATTTCACAGTTCAGTTGAAGAGACTAGAGATCACACACATTACAAAGTAGAAAAGAAAAGACTTAGGTAACAATTCAGGTGGCATATAATTAATTGACAGAGAAGTTGTTTTATGTAAGGTGATAGGAACAAAGTATTTCTCTGATGCAGTCAGAGATCTCGGGGCCCAGGAGCTGGTATGCCATCAGGCTTGACCACTCTTGGCCACTACCATGGTGGAGAGTCCAAGCTTCTGCTACTTGTCTCCCTTGTTCTGAGGAGAAAAGAATGTCTGTCACCTCTGGCCCAGTGTGTTGGTAAAGATAAATGCTCGTTGGAGTGAGCAAGAACATGAGTCTGGTGGTTGATTTGGCCAAATATTGTAGATGGTTTGTCTTTTTCAGAGAGCAGTGTCTAAAGATGTGTGACACTGGAGCTAGTCACTAGATTCTTAGGAGGGCAGGTAATGGCTTTCAGATTTAGTTTAGAAGTAGGTCTAAGCCAACACTTTAACAGAGGGCTAGTGCAAGGGGATCAAGCTACCGTAGTCATTTGATTTCTTGCCATCCTGTGGCATGAATGCAGGCTGGTGAGGCCAGGTAATCCAGAGGCAGTGTTCTAGAGGCTCTCAGTCTTCTTAGATTCTAGGGTTCCCACAGAAACCATCGCTAAGCTGTGTAGGAAAAAAGAGGAAACCCCAGGGTTTTTTGGCCAAAAACCTGCTGTTTTCTGATTACTGGTACAGGAAAACGCTGGACTTGCTTTTCATATAAACAGGAAGGACAGGGATGACCAGAGACTTGTGGGATCTTATGTCTCAGCCCTGGTGAAGCAGGGTTGGCTGTCTTTTCTCAGCATCTCTGTTGTTAGGAGGTAGAGGGTGTGAATGAGAGTCCTTGGTCTATTATAGGCACACAGGCCCAGGGTCAGGTTGGTGGGTCTGGGAGAGCTCATGTCAGCTGGACCTCCCCTCAGGTACTTGCACTCAAACCCCAAAGGAGTTGCTGAGCATATTGTGACCATGAAGTTCACTCCCTGTGTCCTTTCACTTTTTTAAAGATTTGTTCATTTATTCGAGAGAGAGAGCACGAGAACATGGGGTGGGGGGAGGGGCAGAGGGAGAGAGAATCCCAAACAGACACCCCGCACTGGGGTCACGTGCTGAGCACGGAGTCCTACGCAAGGCTCGATCTCATGACCCATGAGGTCATGACGAGCTGAAATCAAGAGTCCCACATTTAACCAACTGCGCTACCCAGGTGCCCCTCACGTTTTTTTTGTTTTGTTTTTTTGTTTTTTTTTAATTGAGGATTCTCACTTGACTTAAGCACATGTGGAAATGGCCAGGAGAGAACTCCTCCAGTTTTCCCAAAGTACTGGGTGTGAGTGTAGGAACTGCTGTAGACAGAACACCGTACTGAACTTTACATCAGACCCTAATTTTTTTTTAAGGTTTTATTTTTTTTTATTTTTTTATTTTTTTGCACATTAGCAATGGGTCAGACTTTTATTTAAAAGGCCAGTGGTTCAAATACTATTGCTCAAATAGCTCTGGTAGGTATTAAAATGTAGTAACACCCGAGGTTTACACACATAAGCAAAGGAGCTGAAGGCCAGCTCACAAAGGGCTATTTCATCCTTAGGAGGGAAGCTAAAAGCGCATGCTGCAGGAATAACCTAACGGGTTTGTTTGGACGATACTCCCGCCCTCTGACAAATGGAAAAAGACCTGGATAAGAATCGGTCTTTTTACACACAAACTTCTCTGCCCTCCTTAGAACTATGCCTCAGCTAAGGAAAAAACCTGTCCTGATAAACTCAAGAATCTGGGCTCCTAAAAAGAGAGGGAACCTTAATGTGAGAAACGAGTCTAGTAAACATCACATGTACTTTCTGTCATTAGTGAAGACATGATACATTCAGAAATGTATTAAAAAAAAAAAAGGACTAAAAATAAGACCAAAAAAATTCCTAGAAAGACATTTCACAAGAAAAACATCAGCCCAAGTTCTATCCCTCTCAATCAGAGGTGGCTCTTACACAAATCAGCAACCCCCTCCAACTCACAAAAGCACTGACACTTGCCTTGCAAGCAGAACATCGAACATATTCCTTAGTCGCTGAACTTGAATGTTAAGCAGAATCAGTGCAGAGCACATTTTAATAGGTTACTCCAATACCCACCTGGTCCAGTTTAAAATATTTGTTTGTAGATCCAGTTTGTACATATTCCAAAGGTATACTGAACAATAAACCATGTACTGTCGCATTATTTTTAAAATGGCCGTTCTTAAAGCTCAAGCAAAACATTAAGATTATAAAGAGCTCTTTCGAAAGAAATCCTCAGACCCTGAAAGTCAAACCAACCTAGTTCTTTTCCACTAAAATGGTGGGATCACGGTAGAATGCCTATTCTGAAGAGCAGCTCCATTTGTTTCCTCATGAAAAAGGCCAAATTTTTCTGGACTGATATAATTTTAAAAACTAAGCCAATAAAAAAATAAAATATACACCCTAAGATACTATAAAACTTGAAATAATGTCAGGGCTTATGGAATGGGAAATAGAGTTCTGGTTGCCTTTTTTTTTTTTTTTCCAAAAGAGGAAAGTGTAAAACATCTTGAGGGAAAAACAAACCAAACCAAACCAGAACTCCGAACCTGGACAGCACTACAGAGACTACGCACAGAGCACCACACGAGAATGAGCTGCACATCAGTACTATCATCATGAGAGTAACTGGCTGGGGACTTACACTTCCAGCAACAGAGCTCCTAGGTCAAAAATGTGTTAAAAGCCTGTAATGTCAACAAGGACCCCCCCCCAAAAAACAAAGAGGGGATGAGGGGAAATAGGGAGGAAAGGCTGCATGCGTGGGTCTATTATAGACATGATATTCAGCAGCATAAAAATAATACCCTCCATAGAGTCCCCCAAATGGGGCAAAACCTTTCTTCTACTGCTAAACATGGGAAAGATTAAGAGAGTGGAACAAATTCACTTGTTAACCATAGCATCTCCTATATCTGAATCACAAGCACGTTCAATCTGATGCTGTATGTTAAGAAAATGTTGCGAATACATAGGAGTAAAGCAAACTAAAAACAAAGGGCTAAATTATGAACTTTAAAAACTGGAAAAGACATCTGTATTAAAACCAAGTAGGTGTGGATCCTGATCGTTACTCTATATGACATAATCCATAGAAAGAAAGGCCATGAAAAAAAAAATCTTCATTTTGTTCCGTCCTTAGTCTCGATGTTGTCCTAGGAAAAACTGTGATAATTCAATGAGTGTGCCACACATACAACTAAAAAGTCCCCTTCTGGTTTCAAACGAATTTAAACAACAATCTTCCTTGGCTAATTTGTCTCCTGTGTCAAACCAACCTTCTATGTACAGGACCAGTTTAAATCCCTCCTCCCCTTCAAACACTAGATATGAACATCCAGGAACATTCTACAATGCAAAGTGCCTTAGGAAAGAGAAGGATTCTGTAGTGCCAGTGATATAACTGATCTGAGGAAGCTGGGGTGCAAGTAACACTGATGGGAGCCAGTCAGGCGATGGTGGTTTGTTTCTCCTCAGGGGTCTCCTCCAACAACTGCATGATCAGTTCATGCAGGGGTTTGCAGATCTTGGCGTAGCCCCCTCCCGTGAGGTGCAGAAAATCAAACATGTCGTGGCAGGAGATGGCACCGTCCGAGTGCACGAAGCCCCCGTCTGTGTCCAGGAGCTGGACGTTGGTGAGCTTCGGCAGGGAAACCTTGAGGAGCTTGTTCACCTTGGCATTCTTTTGCCTCAACGGGTTGGGCTTCTCACCTCGAGGTAACAAACCCAATACAATGATTTTGGCCTGTGGCTGCCTTGTGTTAATAAGTTGGATGATGGCCTCGATTCCACCTGCTACTTCTTCTGCTGTATTTTCATGGTTGTTTGTTCCTACCCAGACAACAATGACCTTAGCTTTAATATTCTCCAGTTCTCATTCTTTAGTCTCCACAAAACATGTCTTGTTGTATCTCCCCCAATTCCAAAATTCAGTGCATGAAGTGGGGAAGAAAGTTCTCGCCATATCTCATATTGCTGCATTAACTGCACCACGGAATCCCCCACAAACAGTACATCAGGCTCTTTGTCTTCACAGTCCAGGACAAATCTGTTGTGCTGAGACATCCATCTGTCATCTCCTTGAATATCTTCTGCTGCATGTGGAATAGCTGCTGGGTTTGAATCCCCTTGGCTCATTCTGTACTCAGGCAGAGGGTCCGTGCGGACCCCAAGCGGCTGCAGCGTCGGCGGGTGGCGCGTCTGTCGCTCGCTCAGTCCCGGCGGCCCCGCTCTGGCGCGTCCCTCCTCGGGCCCCAGCACCAGCGGCAGCCTAAGGTTTTATTTTTTAAGTAATCTCTACACCCAGTGTGGGGCTCAAACTCACAACCCAGAGATCAAGAGTGGCACACTCCACCCTCTGAGCCAGCCAGGTGCCCAACATCAGACCTTGTGATCTGATGTAATCTTATTTCTATCTCTTTCAAACTCTCTGGACTCCTGTTAAATAGGGGGTCCCAATTCCTGCCCCTTTTGGCCTTTCCAGCATGATATATGTATGACTGCTTCCAAATGCTGACCAAGAAAGACATTGGCATTACAACACAAGGGACTTCCTGTTGTCTGAAGCAGAAGAGCAGATTTGTTTAAGTTAAATTCATTTTATTTGTCAAGATTTTATTTTTAAGCAATCTCTATACCCAATGTGGGGCTTGAATTCACAACCCTGAGATCAAGAGTTGTATGCTCTTCCAACTGAGCCAGTGAGTTGCCCCTAAGTTAAATTCATTTTAAAAATAAATAAATAATAGCATTCTCCTCTGGATATTCATTAAATAAGTGTTCACTGAGTTGAATGTAGTGTACAAATGAAACTAAGCATTCTGAGTCATCTCAGATATGAAAAACTTTTCTGTAGGTTGGTGAACCATGTTTAAATTAATGCCTTGAAAGCAGGGCCCATTCTTCCCACCTATAAAACTCTGGAAGTGTCTGGTTCTTGTACACAGCCTAGATGGGAGACAGGACCAGCACATGCACTGATAATTGCAAAAATGTGCAGCATATTTAAAAGTCCTCAGAGTCAGTATCCCAAAAGACTCTCACTGCCATTTCACCTAACAGTGTATTCCCATGTATGAGTCTCTTTATATATGCATGAGAGTATATTTTTCTGTGTTTTTCCCACATAGATCTCACCCCCGCTTTTTTTTTTTGGTTTCCCTGTTACTGGATCTGTGTCTCTTGTTCATTGAGGATACAGGCTAGTGGGGCACCTGGGTGGCTCAGTTGTTTGGTATCTGCCTTTGGCTCAGGTCGTGATCCCGGCATCCTGGGATCGAGCCCCATGTCGGGCTCCCTGCTCAGCAGAGAGCCTGCTTCTCCCTCTCCGGCGCCCCCCTGCTTGTGTTCCCTCTCCTGCTGTCTCTCTCTGTCAAATAAATAAAAAAATTTTCTGGGCACCTGAGTGGCTCAGTTGGTTGAACATCTGACTCTTGGTTTCAGCTCAGGTCATACACTCATGGTTAGATCAAGGCTCTGCGCTCAGCAGGGAATCTGCTCGAGATTTATCTCTCTCCCTCTGTCCAGCCCCCCACCCCCCGCTCATGTGCATGCTTTTTCTCTTTCTCTCTCAAATAAATAAATCTTTTAAGTTTTTCTTACTACTACAGTATTTATTTGTCTTCCCTCTGTCAAACCCTGAGCCAACCACTTTCCCCAGACTGCCTGGGTAGGTATAGGAAAAGGAACATACAGGGCAGATGAGACACAGGCAAAAGACCAATGGGAGGTGGAGAAGGCTCCTCACGTGATGAAGAGGATGAGAAAGGCCACCATCATGCAAAAGAGCCCTAAGGCCCCCAAGAGGGTAAAACCCAGAATGGCGTAGGAGGAGAATTGTTGCTTCAAGGGTTCCTGGCATAACCAGTGATGAGGCTCCCAAGCACAGCCCCAGTTCCAGCTCCAGGGCCAGCTATGCCTACCATGGCAGCCCCAGCCCCAATGAATTTGGCTGTTGTGTCGATATCCCTTGAAATGGTGCTGGTTCAGAAGCTGTAGCTAGGAATAAGTAAGGCCAGGGGCCGTGGGGCTGCCAAGCTGCCGAGGCTCTCATCTGTCATTGTCGCCGGTGGTTAATACTGTTGCAGACAGTGATCAGCTCAACACATGAGAGGCGCTCCTAACCAAGAAGGAGTTGGGGACACCCTTGCACAGGTGGACATTTTCAGGGGATGAGGGGCTGTGGCAGGAGAGCTGCTCCCAATGCAGAGAAGACAGAGAGCATAATCCTCAAGTCTTTAAAGCTAGGGGGGGAAGATACAATTACTTAGCTATATAGCTAAGTAATACTTAAGACATACTCTTAATTCTAGATCAGCTTTGATCAGATCAGATCTTGAACCTGTGAGAAATTTATCACAGTCATCTAAAGACTATTTAGTTAAGGATCCTCCTTGCATTATGCTATGCTAAGCATTATAAAAGATAAATCTTAGAGACTGAGAAATACCGATAAGAGATTTGCAGCTATGAAGACATATATGACAATGGGGCGCCTGGCTGGCTCAGTCAGGAGAGCATGCCACTTTTGATCCCGGGGTCGTGAGTTGGAGCCCCACATTGGATGTAGAGATTACATTAGGAAAAAAAAAAATGACAGACTATATATTCTCCTAAAGTTTTTCATACTGGTCAGTAGTACTGTATTTTCTCCTGGCATTCACATGCATAAAATCGTAGAAATGTCAGGCCTGCGGGCTCTCTGGAGAGAGCCTCCAGTCCAGTGGTTCTCAGAATGTGATTCTCACACCAGCAGCATCAGCATCATGTGGGAACTTGTTATAAATCCAGATTCTCGGGCGCCTGGGTGGCTCAGATGGTTAAGCGACTGCCTTCGGCTCAGGTCATGATCCTGGAGTCCCGGGATTGAGTCCCACATCGGGCTCCCTGCTCAGCAGGGAGTCTGCTTCTCCCTCTGACCCTCCCCCCTCTCATGCTCTCTATCTTTCATTCTCTCTCTCTCAAATAAATAAATAAAATCTTAAAAAAAATAAAAAAATAAAAAATCCAGATTCTCAGGACCCGTCCTAGACATTCTGAATCTCTGTAGGTAAGGCATAGCAGTCTGTGGTTGAAGAAGCCTTCTAGGTGATTCTGATGCACACTACGGACTGAGAACCACTGATTCTAATCCAGCATCTTCCTTTTCAGTGAAAGAAATCAAGGCCCAGGAACATTAGGATTACATCTCATTACGTCTCAGTGCTGTAGGAAAAATTACATTTTCCTTGGCTTGTTACATCTTTAGATGTTACCTCACCTGTGAGGCCATAAAGGTTTTTTCTTTTTTTAAGATTTTATCTATTTATTAGAGAGAGAGAGTGAGCAAGAGAGCACAAGCCAGCGGGGAGCAGAAGAGGGAGTGGGAGAGGGAGAAGCAGGCTTCCCACGGAGAAGGGAGCCCAATGTGGGGCTCGATCCCAAGACCCTGGGATCATGACCTGAGCCGAAGGCAGACACTTAGCCAACTGGGTTGCTAGCCACCTTAGGCACCAGGTGCCTCCATAAAGATTGTTTCTTGCCCTCACTCTTATTGGTGGTTTCCCAAAACTCATTCTTGGACTTAGCCTTCAGAGGTGTTCTTTTCATATCACAGCTCTTTTTGTGGCATCTTATTTTCTACTTCTGTTTGACCCCCTTTTTTTTTTAATCTTCTTTCACCTCCAGTGTCATCCTTAAAGCTTTTCTATGAGTTCCTTAAAGGAGAGGGAGGGACCCTAACATGTTTTATTTCTCAGCTTAGAAGTGGTTCAGGAAAATGTATTCTAGCGTGCAAAATGCTCCAACATTTTTGCCACAGTTGAATGTTTTCTTAAATCTGTCACTAAAAGGGCACCTGGGTGGCTCAGTTGGTTAAGCGACTGCCTTCGGCTCAGGTCATAATCCTGGAGTCCTGAGATCAAGTCCCACATCGGGCTCCTGGCTCAGTGGGGAGCCTGCTTCTCCCTCTGACCCTCTCCTCTCTCATGCTGTTTCTCTCTCTCTCTCTCTCAAAAAAAAAAAAAAAAATCTGTCACCAAAAGGTTTCTGTGCCCAGTTCTTGGCACTAGTGTGCTTCATTAGAAAAACACTGAATTTGCCAACCCTTTCCCATGGGCTTGTGACATAACGAGATTATTACTCAAAGAGTCTAGCCCAGGGGCGCCTGGGTGGCTCAGTCGTTAAGCGTCTGCCTTTGGCTCAGGCATTTTGGGATCGAGCCCCGTGAGAGGCTCCCTGCTCCTCAGGAAGCCTGCTTCTCCCTCTCCCACTCCTCCTGCTTGTGTTCCCTCTCACTGTGTCTCTGTCAAAAAAAATCTTAAAAAAAAAAAAAAAGGAGTCTAGCCCAAATAATTTAATCTCTGGAACACTGGTCCCTGGGGACATCTTCTCTGACCACCCCCAGTCAAGGGGTATATGCTCTCATTTTACCATTTATATCATCTTCACTGCATTTATCACAAGTACAGTTCTACATGTATTTATATGGTAATTTGATTAATGGCTCTCTCTCCCCCTAAACTATAAGTTCTCTGAAAGTAAAGTCCAAACCCAGTGCTGTATCCCCAATGCTGAGCACAGGGCCTGACACACAAATTCTACTCGTGCATGCCCTGTCTGGTGGTGTGACCCAAGAAAGAGTAGGCAAGAGCGATTCAGTCTTCTGGCTTTCAAACTTCTTTTTCTAGTAGCAGAACCTTTTTTGTACCCCCCTCCCCAAATAGACTTCCTGGATTTTGTAAAACATAAAAGTCGTGCTCTTCCTGAGCTACTTCTCTACCTACTGTTTGAAGTCTCCTTTCTCTAGTCCCATGCCTCTAGATGGGCTAACAGGAGTGCTGTCGTCCTAGAGCTCTGAACCGGCACTGTGCTGATAGGAAACAAAGAGGTGTTCTGGGGCAGCCTCTCTGGGCCTCTGGTGTTCAGGGGCACCCAGTCCTGGGAAATCTGGGGAGTATGAGCTGGAGAAAGGGTTGTAGCTTGAAATTTGTTCACATTCCAAAAAATCTGAGCTAATAAGCATTCAGCATCCCACTCCCTGTTAACAAAAACCAGTTTCCAGCTTCTCTAATCTCTCCTTTGGCTTCCTAGCAGGAATGCTAGATAACTTAAATAAATACGTCTTTCAGCACAACCCAGGTTCTCTAAAGTTAAAGATCATGTACATTTGGCCTGCAGGAGCCTGTTTAACTCAAGATGGCCTTTAGCTCCCATACAGATAATACTATTGGGTCCTAAGTTCAAAAGC